CTGAGGAAAGCAGGCGAGAGAATTCATCTGGTTTATTGTTATGAGAACCAGAACAAGTGAAGCATCTGTTTTTGTGAACCAAAGAAACATTTTATTCAGAGGGTTTCTTTAGGGGAGCTGCTACAGGAGACGCTGTAGGACCGTTCTAACATGACAGTGATGTTCTTTTAGGCTTTTGGAGAAGATTAAGATGCCATATGAGTACAAAAAAACTCTCTCTCTCTCAAAATGCCATCAGTGACAGCTGGTGCATTGGTTAACTCAAAAGCTATGACTAGATACTCAAAATGGCCAAGAGATATATTAAGTTTCCCTGACAAGAGGGTAACTTAGTGACAATACTTGGTCCCATGCAAAGCTTCAAAGGCAGAACTAATCACTGGTAGTGGATATAATTCAATTTGTTTATTAGACTGAGAATCTTTTCTTTTTGGTCAAAAACAAATAATCAGTAACACAACTATTATTTTTCCATATCCTTGGTAGGTAATGGAGTTCCTGTTACAGGTCAGGTGAGTATGGATCCGTTTTCAGGTGGTATATGTAAACAGGAAGACAAACTACAACTTTCAGTGGCTTTTTCTGACCATCAGGATTATAGCTTTCTAACAAAGGTTAAACCTAGAATAATGGCAGTCTGTGGTGCAGAGAAAATATAAAACTGAATGTATTCACAATGATTTTCTAAGACAATGAGTTGAATGGGTCCTGTCAGATGAGAAATCCGGTCGTTAAGTCTGACGTCACTAGTCGTGTCTGGGCCTAAACTCCGCTGCAGGTCCATATATCAAACGATCAAACTGTTCATTAAAAGCTTGATGGTAAAACACCATTCAAGGCGATTTATAAGGATTGTAGTCACAAGCAGAACTCAGATCCTGAAACAAAAATGTTGAGGAGAGGCTGGAGTCCTTCATTTCAGTGTAGAGCTCTGTGTATGCTCTTTAATGGGGGTTAAAGGAGGTGTTCAGGTTGATCCTCTTCAATCAACCTTTAAGCTCAAGAGAAATATCTTAGTTGGTTGCTTGTTCAATTACCCTGTCAGGGACCAAGCAGTAAAGCATAAAGGACACAGGTACTTAATTTAAAAAATGTATTTAACAAAGCCAAAAAACTTAAACAGGCAGACCAATAAAAGAGGTCAACTTAACAGACAGAAGGTGTGATGGAAAAATAAATACATTTAATAAAGAAACAATATTGGACAATAAGTAGAATACATTTAAAGTAGTGACTGCAAAGTAAACTAAAGTGAATCAACTGGTGGTGAAGTGTGGAGCTTACCATGTGTGGCTTGCCATCACATACCCCATTACGTTCCCTTCTTAATGTTGGTGAATTTCAACAAATTAAGTCTTTATAAGAATGTGACTTTGTTTTCAACTGTAAGCCTTGTTATCCGACAATAATAAAAGGGTAGTCTAATTTTCCTTTGAAACCTTGCCAGTTGCCGTGTGAAAGACATTTTCTCAACCAAATTGTATTGAAAAAAGATAAATTTAGCAGCTTTCCACATCAAAAGGCGTTCTCTACTTTTTGCAAGTTTGACACAAGACGCAGTTGAACACAGCAATAATTCTTAGAAAGTAAAACCACTTTGCCACATCTGAGAGCTTTATCAGAGAGAGCTGCGACATGGAAGAGTCCACGATGTAAGAGCTGAGAGACGGCAAAAAGTTATTTTAGTCCCAGGTTAGTCTCTGGTGTAAATAAATCAAGCTCAATCTCATTACATTCTCATAAATCCTAGTTTGAATAGTAGGTTAGATTCGGCAGGTATTTCATGTCCTGACACAACCTAAAAGGCTGGTTTGTGTTTCCAGCTGGAACTTAACCTGCTTACCCAACAAAAAAAAAAGCTTCCAATATACAACGTAAATAATATTGTGAAGGACATTTATTGCAAAAAATGGACAAAAACCTGTCAGTGTAGTGTTAATATTACTCATGAATTGAAAGTGGTGGATTAGCACAGTGTTTAAGCAGTAACCACTTTTACCTTACCGTTAGCTCTATGACTTTACCTTTCTATGTGGTGGCTGCATGTTTGGAAGCTGTTACTGTCAGTTTGTTTCAGCTGTGGTGCATTCTCACTTCCTTTTTAGTTTCACTAATGCACATGTGCAACTCGCTCTCTCTCTGTGATTGAAAGCCTATAGAGGGAAGCAGAATCCAGTGCACAGGCTGCTTTTTCTTACCTATCCCTCCTCTGTTCCACATCAAAGAAAGCATTTTGATAACTGAAGAATAAAGTTGTCATCAGTGTTGGGGAGTAACGGAATACATGTGCCGCCGTTACGTATTTAAAATACAAAATATGAGTAACTGTATTCCGTTAC